CTTTACCATTTTTCTTTGTGTAGCTACAAAAGCAGCCCAATTATTCCTTCTAATTGCCTATCTCTTTCATTTTCTATTCATAAAACTGGCCCTTCATTTTCAGTATACTCACCACAGCAGCTAGCAATGGTGCAGCAATACGCTGGGATAGCAAACTGATCTTCCTCTGGCTGTTTGTGGCCTTGACTGAAAAGTTCATTGATTATCATAGGTATCTGCTATACGTATCAAGATTAGCAGAATTGCAAAGACGACAGATGCAAGACAGAAAGATGTACTGGTTAGAATTACCGAGTAATGAAATTTCATTGGTTAAAAAAAGGTAACACTGCAGCTGAAGGAATTTCTTGTACAGGAAACAACACATCATGATGACGTAACTAAGAGTTTGGAGGATTTTGAGAGTTTAGTAAGTGGTGGCGTTCCTTGCAGAGGATGGGGTTCCAGGCTGGATGGCTTGCAGGTCTGTTGCTGCAACAGGACACAGATCTGAAGTCCAAGCATAAAAAGCCTTATCAATGTGATTTATCTCAATTAATTGGTCCTCTGACCAAGCCTGCATGGTATATATTTATCCTGACTGGATAGTAATGTGTTCCAATATAAAAGTAAAAAACCACTTCCAAACCCTAAACGCATTAAATGTTGCCTGTGCTGGAAAACAGTATTACCAATGCAGTACTTCTGATTCACAGGTTAGCACATACCAGTTATTTCTGAAAAAATCACCTACCTCTTGCTAAATAAATGTGTGTGTAAATAACTGAATTGCTTCTTCCTCTCTTCTAGCTTTGATGTCGACCCTTTGAGACGACATACCTTTTGGACAATTGTTATTGGGGGAACGTTTACATGGCTAGGGCTCTACGGAGTTAATCAGTCCACAATACAGAGGTGCATTTCTTGCAAATCAGAAAAGCACGCTAAACTGTAAGTTACCTGTCATTAATCTATTCTGGCAATGAAACATACTGACATGGAATTATAATAAATATAGTAACAGTTTGTCAGTTTTGGCAAATAAATATTGGGATGCCTTTGGGCAGTAGTAAGCTAATTTTGTGCTAACCGTCTTAATTTCTCTGACCATAAATGACAAACAAATCAAGAAAGAAACATGGGTAGCTATCTAACTCTTGCAGTTTATTCATTTGGGGTTAGGCTGCTAAATTAATCCTCAGAAGCAGAGCACGGAAAAGACGCCCACACAGACGTTGTGCTATCTACAGCTTTATTGGGAAAATGCATTTATTGGAATTGTGTTTATGTTGTATTTTATTAAAAATGGTTATTGATTTAATGGGGCATTATAATACAAGGCATGATCTAAGCAAAATGAGATCAATAAGTTATTAAAATTTTAAAATATAAGAATAATTAGAATCAATGGCAAAGAACCAAGAGAAATTTCACAGTATAGATATTTAAGTCTCCAGTCTGCTACCTTCCTCAAGTTCAGTATTAGTATGTGCGTAGCTAGACACACATTTTTCTAAACAACCAGATTTTTTTCATATACCTAAGGCTAACTGCTTGCCCCCTTGGCTAAAGCATAAAGGTGATAATTTTTTCCTTTCGTCAAACAGCTAGCGTTTTTTTCTGGCTGCAGTCATATTCATTTTTCTTAAGGTTATGACAGATTATATGAATTTACCCTGCTGAAATTCAGTCTCTGAAAATGTTTGGAAGTCATAACTGCGAGAACATCACTAGTAACATGTCCTGAAAGACCTTTGGGTCCCAGTAGCACAGCTCTGAACTGGCCCTAGCAAGAAACCTCATGTAAGGCGATGTCCCAATGTGACGTGGGCTCTATAAAATCTGGCAGCTCTCAGGAAGTGCAGGAGTACTGAACCGCAGCCACACAACCTCCCCAGCAGATGCTGTGACCCACATCCATTTCACGGACTAGTGAAAACACCCAAGTGTGTTACTTTGCAATGATGGCGTCACAACGACGACAGAATCCATGCCAAACAGTACTCTGCGTGGCTCAAAGGGACAGCAGCAACAACAATCTGCAGGCAACAATCTGCTCTTACAGGGAACAGGAGGGACGGACCCAGTGCTGGGTACAGCCTGTTCTGCCTACATGTTACTGGTCTTAGATCAGTCTCTCCCAGCTGTACAGTTACATAGAACCTTGCCCTAGAGGCTGTATTTTTTCATGTTTTTTAAAATCAGTATTAGACACAATTTCTTATCCTGGTGATGCCTTTAAGAGATTATATAGCTAGCTTTCATTAGGGTCTCTCTCCAAAAATTTAGTTATTTCTAACTTGTAACAGCTTTTCTGTATTTATCTTCTATTAAATAGAGTTTCTCTCCTCTGTTCTAGGGCACTTTACCTGAATCTATTGGGACTTTGGACAGTCCTGGTGTGTGCAGTATTTTGTGGTTTGGTGATGTACTCTCATTACAAGAGTTGTGACCCTTGGACTGCTGATTTCATTTCAGCACCTGATCAGGTACAGATACCCATTATTATAATTAGGAGCTGCTTTGGGCCCAGACATAGCACATATGGAGACAGCTAAAGTTTTGTGGGATGCTTTATGTCCTTTCACTGCTAAGGCACTAAGGTGGTTGCCGAATCAAGGCTATAATATCTATTCTGGCACTTCTGCAGTATTAATCTGATTGACCACTTCTGCCAAACGATATCCCCTTCACTCAAAATCTGACACCCCTTGTTAGTTAGAACAAAACCAGAATTTAGCAACATGCTCAGAAACAGCTACTTCTCTCCACCACCCAGGAAAATCTTAACTAATTGCTTGTGTTGCTCTTGTGTTCCTTCTACCCCAGCTCATGCCGTATTTTGTTATGGACATTTTTTCTTCGATGCCAGGAGTGCCGGGACTGTTTGTCGCCTGTGCATTCAGTGGAACGCTAAGGTCTGTGAATGTGAAATGACACTTTAGCTGTGTACCGTTGATTTCCTTGAGGACCCAGAATGAGGTCAAAACATGAAACCCTAAGAAAAGCCCAGCTGTTTTTCTTAGCACATTGTAGGAAGAAGCAGTAGTGCTTTATCAAGTTACATTATATTTATGCCAAAGTCTAGCTCCACTTCTCTGGTATCTTTTTATCCCAAATACATTTTAGAATATCATCATCAACAGTCAAAAGGCTATAAAACCTGAGCAAACACTAGTTCTCTTCGTAAAAGAGCTCAGCTTCCTGAAATACCTTTGGAGCTGCTTATGGTGAAATTACCTTTACTCAACCCGACTGCCACAACATCATGGGGTAGAGAGCTTTTCAGCAAGTCCACCTGCACATGAAACAGAGTCAGACTAGGAAAAGAGATGTCTGCACTGAGAAATTCTAGAAACTGTGTGTTCTTCAGGGGGTGCTGCATGTTATTGTAGTTTCTACCCTCTATAGGCTAAACATCAAAACTTCATTGGACACTAGAAAGAGAGAAGTTTCAAGTTCACAGTGACATTATTCAAATGCCATAGAGACAATCTCCAACAGGCTGTTTCTAAAGACTATCTAAAGTCTAAAGACTTTTGTAGAAAAAGCAAGAGAGCTATCAAAACAGGATAAAAAAAAAAAAACACCCAACCCCAAACAAACAAAAACCCCTCAAAAAATCCACCTAAAAGGCACTGGCTCCTCCTGGCAGGAGGCTGAGAGCACAGTTAAGGGCACCAAGTACCAAATACTATGCTGTATATGTCAATACTGCCATATTGTCACAACAAATTCACAGAGATCGTATTCACCAAATATGGGTGAATTCACCTAGCTAAGACAGTCAGACTATTCCTAGTCTGTATTTTTCAATTATGAGAGAAAACAGAACAGGCATTTTACGGAGGAACAGGGTATCACTAGTGGTCACTGCACATCCTTTGGCTTGTAAGGAAGCAATATCTTTATTGTGGAACATGTCTACATTTTGAAGGCCTCTGCAGCTTGGTAAACTGAAGGGTCAGTTAGGATGAGTTTCTGTCTTGTTCTGTGCCAGCACGAAGCAGGGCCCCTAGCCATCGCAGAAGGGACAGAAACCTCACCAGCATCAGCAGCGTACGCGAAAAGTACCCTTCAAGAACTGTATATTTTATAGTATTAATGCTGAACCAGAGGCAGTATCTCTCTATAAATACAACTTTATTTCAGATTATATTGCTTCCCATTTATTTAACATTCTCCATTTCTACAGCACGGTAGCTGCCAGCATCAACGCTTTAGCAACCGTTACCTTTGAAGACTTGGTCAAAAAAGGTTTCCCAAACATCTCTGAGAAGATGAGCACATGGATCAGCAAAGGCTTATGTAGGTACCCCAGATGGGATCCATTTGTTTAATGGCAAAGGTGTCCATCCCCCCAGCTGCTATGTACTACAGAAGAAAATTGGGCAGGATTTTATATCCTTGGAGCCTTGAGAGTCTGAGACTCTCAGTTGACTCCGAGAGCAGTTCTGTGAGCAGTGAAGAGCACTGTCTAGAGGTACTACTTCAGAAATGCGCTTGTGCTTCGGAAGCCTCCACAGGAGCATAACCCTTTATAAACTCTCAGGGTGAACATCAGCAAGATGCTTCAGTAAAATTAATCACATGCATTATATGGTGCACTACTCAAAATCCTTTGAAAAGTTTTGTCTACTGGAAATACTGGGGAACAGTCTGGGATCTTCTTTACAGTACAGAAAGAATATCAATGTAGTTATTACCACATTACACTATAGGAGTATCGTACTACTATAAGATAATAATATTCAGTAGTAAGGCATTTATATTCAAACTTAGAGAATCACGTAAGCAGGTTGTTCAGTTTTTCAGAGAAAAATAAAAATGTAAAAAAGATAAACAAAAAACAGACCATCAAAATATCAAGCATCCAAAGTGCTTTGAATTTTTAAGACACTTTTTACAAGCATTGCAGTAATATCGTAGCCCTTTTATAAGTACTGTAATAATATCATAACCGCTTGTTGATGTTGGCAAAGATCACAGAAGAGCCCAACCAATGTTTTCTCTGTCTCCAATCTTTACTGCTCCTGCTTTTCCACTTACTGCTTAATTTTTGCACTCAGGACCTAGAAAGGTAATTTTTACCTCTGAAACCAAGGTGTGCTAGCACAGATGATGAGTTTTGGTTGGCTTTCCTCAAGACTACTAGACAGAGCTTTGTCTACCACAAAGTTAAAACTGGTGTCAAAGGGGCAAAGCCATGTTGTTTATCAGTGCTCCATTCATTCATTAGATTATTTTAAAAGTGTTATTTAAAGGCAACAGAAATGGAAACATTTCTACATGAGACTTCTAAATTAATTTCATCATTAAGTTCTGCTTCATAAGAAAAAACAAACAACCATCCAAAGACCCAACAAGATTTCACGCAAGACACTGCTGGGTGCTTAATGGTCCGCTTTAAATCAAAGACCAAAGTGCAAATTCCTCCATGCTGCCTGTCCTCATCGGACACTAGATGAATTAGAAATTATCCACACTCTTAACCAGCACTGACAACCTCGCTGCCTGATCTTTTCCAGGTATCTTATATGGCATCCTGTGCACTTCAATGGCGGCAGCAGCATCGCTGCTGGGAGGAGTTGTGCAGGTATCTTGTGCTTCAGAAATGCAGGGAACTGAATGTGAACAAACAGCAACCCAGTGAACTGAATAATGCTGGCATCCCTGGGGACTGCTAGGTTACCCGAACAATACCTGTGAACACTCTGCTGAGGAGAATAACTAGTAAAAAAAAAAATAATCATAAATCCCTCAGCTCCTTCACTATTTACTCACTGCTAGGAAACAATACCGAGTGTCTGTCTTTAATTGTGCACTGAAATCACTGTTGGTCCCTTCTCCCCCACCATTTCCCATTCAAAATTACAGATCGAAACCAGAAGTGCGCATGCTCCCTCTGGCTGCTGCACTAAGCTCCTGTCTCTTCTCTGCATCCACAGGCTTCCCTCTCCATCCATGGGATGTGTGGGGGGCCCATGCTGGGATTATTTACCCTGGGAATTGTGTTTCCTTGTGCTAACTGGAAGGTAAGAAAAAAAAAAAATCCTTATCTAAAAGAAAATCTCTTTGTGTTGTTTGGTTAAAACTCCAACTTGAAATTTTTTTTTTTTTTTTTTTTTTTTTTTTTAGATTTAGTCTCTGGGCTGCTGCTTTTCAGCTTTAGAGCCTAGGGAATCCAAGATCTGTTTAGAGGTTTCTTTTCACTGTCTGAATTTATCCCATTTGAATTTAACTCTACCCAACTGTGGAATAATTGCTGATTAGATCCACATGAAGGCTTTATTTAAAATTATTTTTATTTCTGAGTTACTTTCATTAAAAAGAAAAAATATTCGATACTAACTCCAGCCTAGATTCACCTTGGGACGCACAGAATAATTTCAATTGCTCTGCCTTTACTAATTCAGGCAAAACGCAGTATGAGCTCATTTCATATTGCACCATGAGGAGTCCCATCACATTTACCCAGAAGTAAAACTAAACTCTGTATTGCAGTTTTGATCATCACAGTTTTGCTTCAACTTTTATTACTAGAGGGCAATAAATCACCATGTTTTATACCTTGGATGAGAGAGAACAGAATGAATTTACGCTGACAGAGGCTGTAACCAGTCATTACCTGCTCCTACTGAATTCAGGTTTGCAGAGAAGTACTTCCCACCTTTAATGTTATCTTTCTATACCTGCAAGGGTGCTATTGGAGGCCTCTTAGCTGGGATCACCTTAGCTTTTTGGGTCGGAACCGGCTCTTTCATTTACCCTGCACCACCGACAAAGTCCATTCCCCTGCAACTGTCGACTCTCAACTGCACACTGGCTAACAGTACCGAGGCGCTGGTGATGGCGGCGGCTCCCACGGCAGCTCCAGACAGGTATTTCCCCTGTCGTTACCACTTAAACCTGTGTTTTGGCAAGGCGCGCTGCCTGAGCCTGCAGCCGGTAAGCACCAGGCGGGCTGGGAGCACAGACCGCTGCTGGGTCATACAGCGACCGCAGCATGAGCTACATGTGTTTTGGTGGCACAGTCAAGAGACAACGTGAACATACCCATCGGTATCATGCTAGCTGCTGCTTTCCCTTTTGTCACCTCTTCACAGGCCTTTCCTGGCAGACACCTGGTACTCCCTGTCCTACCTGTACTTCAGTGCCATGGGCTGTCTAGGCTGTGCCATCATAGGGCTGTTGATAAGCTTTATAACAGGTTGGTGTTCAATGTATCTCTCTATATAAATGCTTTTGCGCAAGAATCTGACTCAGCTATTAAAAGAGCTTTAAAAAAACCCAGCAAGCAGCTTACGAGACACAGACTCAGGAGAGGGCAGCGGGCTCTGATCCCACTCCCCACCTCATGCTCAGAGGCTCCCAAGGCTCACGCCTAGCTTTCCGTAGACTTAGGTATCATTATTTTCTCCTTTCAGGACCTAATAAAGGAGAAGATATCCCACCAGTGTTAATTAAGCCAGTCTGCAACCTGTTTTGCTTTTGGTCCGAAAGACTCAAAGCTTTCCTCTGGTGCGGCGTGCGGCACGACAGCCAGGAGGTGAGTACCTGAACCCATCGGCTCAGCCGCAGCCCGGGAGCGGTGGCTATACACGCACGTATGTATGTGAGGGCACATGCCACGCAGAGAGCAAACTAGCTTTCGGCAATCGCTTTTTAAAATTCTGCAAGGGATGCTGCGCAGGCACCACATACTGGAAATGAGATCAGTCAAACCCTGCTCAGCATTAGTCTGTAATAAGTTACTTATTCCCTGTTTGCGCAGCACACGGGGACTCAGGTTCTCTGGAGACAAACAGCCCTCGGGACAGCCAGCAGCCCGTGAAATGGGGGCTGACCTCCCTCTCCCTGCCCTCCCGCTCCGGCAGCCGAGCGGGGGCAAAACCACACTGTACGCCCCAGAGAGAAGTTCACCGAGCTACTACCTCCTCCCACCAAGCGCAGAGAGAAAGACTTTAGTACTCACACGTCCATGAAGCTCTCCTGCTGCTGCCATCCCACCTCCAGGCCTTCTCCCCTCCAGGCCAGCACTGCCGGCCCCTCAGGCAGAGCTGCAACCGCCAGCACCTGGGCTGCTCCTGCCCACCACCTCCTCCACAGAAACAGGACCAGGTGCGTTAGGGCTTCCTAGCTTGTTAACAAGCACCTCATTTTCTTGCACTGTTGTAACAGTTTGCAGGGAAACAGCATTGCTCCATCTTAGCAGAATCCAGTAGGTTTATAAAAGGAACATGAAGCAATATGTGTTTTCAGCTCCTTTAGCATATTCCACAGGTGCCTTTAAATCTTGAAAGCAATCATTCAGCTGGAAGGCTCACAGTATGCAGAGATAACGTCGAAGCTGTCCTTCCCCCTAGCTTGCATTGAATTTGACATTAATGATCTAATTTGAAGAGCAGCTGTGACTCTAGATTTGCTTCAGCTGTTTCCCTTGGCTTTTAGGTGCTCAACACAGACTTCATCTAGAACTTTTCTGGAGAAAAAACTAATCATCTCAATAAAAGCAGTAAAAACAATAAATCACATATGCATTTACACCCTTGTATTTGCTTAAAATGTAGAATTACAACATTAATCAGGTAGTTGCAGTGTGAAACCAGAGGCAAGCGTCAGCCAGACAAAAACCCAATCCACTCAAATGTAGATAAATATGCAAATGAAAAATTAAATTTAAGTGATTGGGAATGCACCGAGGGCATGTTTGAAGACTTCTACATGAACAGAGGAGTTTGAGAAGTTGTTTTCATTCCTTTTGGCAAAGACTTTCTGTGACGGAATGAGAAAAAAACAGTGGCCGTGTATGGAGGGGACACATACACTAAAGTGTGGGTCTGAGAGTCATTTCATGTAATGAACTAACTCCTCAGATTTGTAAGAAAGGATGTCAAAATTTCAAAATGCAACAAGATACCCTTTAAGCAATGGAAAAAACCAGTGAACATAGGCTTCAAACTACTGGGCTATTTTGTCTCTTTTTTTCAGGTGGACTTTGAAAAAAATCTGCCTAAAGTTATTACAAATAAAAATGGAACCAATGACACCTTCAAGAATAATATCGACAAAGAAAACAAACGCCAGTTCCCTGGTTACAATCCCGAGGAAAATTCCTATACTAATGTGAGCAGAGAATCTCGCCTCTAGAAGCTGAGGGACAAGGGACATTTAATCAAACTTTATTTCTCTAGCTTCAGAAATGAAGAGCTCTTTTTATCCCATTTACCAGCTTGTAGATGACCAAGAGGGAACAATTGCTCTCTATAGCAATAAAGGCCAGATTCCTATTTATGAATTTCCTGACAGGCCTGGGAAATCACCGGACAAGGGGGTTTTGGAGGCACTGCTATTTCAGAGGAAAAGTTGTTGTGGAAGCTCCTGCGCGGAAGTAGCCACAACATGTCTCTCTCTCATACTCTGTTCAGTAACTAGTCATGGAAGGGAAACGTGCAAAGGTGAACTAGAGATAAAGCACAACTTCAGAGAAATTTCTGAGGTCTCTTACGAAGGTGAGGCTGTGAACTGCCCTCGGACGGAGGGAGCCTGGGGGAGAGGAGGGAGGTCAGGCTGAGGTAGTCTCTGCCTATTTTTAGGTACCTCAAAAAGCCTCCCCACAGGCACGTCGTATAGACCAGACTGGTCTTCTAGTGACTGAGGTAATTGTGTTTGCTTCCTCTGTGGAACTAAGATTTCTTTATAATATCTTATTCTAAAAGCTAGAGGAGAGAGTAACAAATTTTACTTCAAATTCAGGACAGTTCTTTATCTGTGTCAGTCTTGGAAAGACGTCCTTTCAGCTCAAAAAGATCCACCTACTCCCTTGATGCAACAAAGAAAATAAAATAACATTTGATGCCTCCTAATTGATAATCCGTGCTGAATTTTGGAAAAAGACATGTGGTTAGGCAAATTAGTCTGTCCTGTAAAATGTCTTGGAGGAAGGTACCTAGTCCACTAAGTACTCTGTTTCAGTGAAACGCATTTCCTCTAAAATTTGCCTGATGTAAATCAAACTCAGTAGACCACCTCTCACCTTGACAAACTTCTGGACGGAGTTTTTTGGATGAATTTTTTTTTTTTTTTAAAAACCCCTCACAACTGAATGAAACAGACCAAAAATATCAAAGACGACTCAGACAGTTATGGACCCAGCTAATATTTACCTCATATTGCTCTGCAGAACCCAGTTGTTGCTTTTGCTTCATCAGGACCACCTTTATGATGTAAATCTAGGTCAACCTGGTCCTTGAAGTTACTTCCCCTGCCTGTGTTCATGCCCTACCTCTGGGAACGGTTCCAGGATATTCAATTAGAGAACAGAAATAGCAGTCTGTAAATGACAATGCCTTGCTTGGGCGGGACAGTTTGTCAACAAACTGAGAGTTAAGTCAATATGTGTGTTAATCCCTTTTACACCACTTTTATAATCTCATAAAAGCTTACAGCTGAGTCTGGCTGGCAGCCTGCTGTCTCACATGGCAAGCTTTCTGGTCATACTTCCATACTTGATACGGACACGGAGGCAGAGATGGAAACTCAGTCAATAACATTACTGTATCATTTATATCTCATGGCCATACACATTATCACTTAGACACTATCACGTTTATCAACTTAAGATTGTAAAATAATTCCGGAGTGAAAGTGGTTTAAAACACCAGTGTGAAGCTACACAGTTAGATGTTGGATTAACCCCCCCCCCCACAGTGGTAGTTGCAGGATATCCGATTCAGAGACATCTAACTGTGAAAACAAGTCTGCTCTGAGTATTTCTTGAGATGCTTATTCATTGCTGTGTTCTTATGCTTTACATGCTGGAAGATGCACAGCTTGCATTTTTCAGTATTTTCAGTATTTTTTCACAAGTTTAGCAATCCTTTACATTAAGTGTTCTTATGCTTTGCATGCTGGAAGATACACAGCTTGCATTTTTCAGTATTTTCAGTGTTTTTTCACAAGTTTAGCAATCCTTTACATTAGATTCGCTACAGACTTAGTCTCTTTCCAAGTCCTTTGCCACGAAGGAGAATCTTGATTAGTCCATTTAATGTCAAAAAAAGTGAGTGAGGTTGGCTAGAATTGCATTGTCTCAAAATGTCTTTGAAGAAATAGTCTGAAGAATTTCTCTTTAACTTCATATTTCTGGACTAGTTTTGTTTCAACTAAAGCTGCTCATGGAGCCCAAGTGTTTTCTGTATTTGTAAAGGAGCCAGGCATTCCACAAGGTTTTACTAAGTCCAAAACGTGGACTTAGTATGATGGCTAAAATCGTTAATCAGTAGTTCATTACTCAGTCTTCTACCAAGATATAAAGGTGTGGCCTAGCAAAACTGGAATTCAGAAAAAATTACCACTCTGATTAAATGTTCAGATCAGCGTTGTTGACAGTTTTCTTATTATCTTCTTGCTTGCTTTATACCCCGAGCCATCGATCCTTCCAGAGAAGAGCTAGCCTGTGCACTTGTGTTGAAAAAATAAGCTTAAGAAACTAGGAACTTGTAAATTCTAAAACAAGAGCTTAAATTTAAGAAATTGTTAGTTACTAGCGAAAGCATAGACCGTAAATGACTGAAAATTTGAAAAGTGAGTCTATATGTGCCTTGAGACCTTAATTGTTAAAAGGTAAACAAGTGTCCAAGTCAAGTTTAACCCTTAAATTACTTCTAGGGTTTGAAGGCACGTCAGCACTCACTTTTCAAGTGTACATTTATTTTTTTTATAATTAACTTTGAATATTTGGAATAATGAAGTTCAAAGCCTCTTTCAAAGATATCCCAGTTTATTACTGAAAAAATGCAATATTCAAATGTGTATGATACAGTAAGTAGTTGCATTTGTACATGTAAACCTTGATAAAGTAAACAGCATCTCAAAGACAAATTTATGCCAAAAGTGTCTTAATCAGATCAACAACTTTTTCCTCAGTGAATTCTTTTAGTTCTGGGGTACATACCGGCTTGTAAAAGTAATCTTAAAACACAAAAGAAACCAAAAGCTGAGATGCCAGAGGAACTTCTAGCTTGTAGTGCATAAAAGTCAATTTCTCTGAAATGCTCTGTGGTACTGTTATTTTAAATATTACTTACAAAGTGTGGATTTATGAATAGAAAAAATAGCTGACATTTTATTCTTATTCCTTACTTAGAAACCAAGTTGTATTTAAATATTACATAAATTTCAAATATATACACATTTTAAGAAATCTCTTACGATCATGATATTGCAAGTTAGCCAGGACTATCAGAGTAAAAAATGACTGAACTGTGTTATTCAGTTAGATTTCACATGAGATTATTTCAAAGAACTGAAATTTCAGTGATACTACTCTAGGTAAAAATTGGAGCCAACAGTTTGGAAGATTTTTCAATACAAAACTCTGAGTCATCCAAATAGAACAGAAAATAAAAAGATGATCTGAATTGTTTTTCAGTATTAACAGAAAAATTGTTGTGTTCTCAGTGTTTAGAATCTCATTAGCTTTAGAGTGCATTGGGTTTAATCCTAATTTCTCACCCAGTAGCATCCTAACAATTAGTTTACAGCAATAAGAATGCAAACTACAGAGAACATATAACATTATCGAGGTTACGGCAAAAAGTTAGAACAAGCCAACAGAACTAACACAAGGTAATTTCCAGTGCAGTGAGGAGGGAATACTCCATTAAGATTTCAAGACTAAATCACAGTCCTGGATTAAAAAAGTTCCTGTAGAACATGGAATTGCAAAGTAACTTCTCTACAGTTCCTTGTTGTACTGTTAGAACTTTGTGCTGTTGTGGTTACATTGTGCTATCATGGCTACGCCAAAGTCATACCAATACAAATTTCTGGTAAATGTGGTTGCAATACTAGACAAAAAATTGTCAATATGAGTCTATTATATAAATTTAAAAATGCTAGGATGGTGTAAGGTATTTAGGATGCCTGTGTGCGTGTAGGG